TCATGTGTCAAACATTCATTTGTTTCGCGTTGGATATGGAATATTTAGCAAGTTGATCTTAGATTGAAGAGTGTTCATATGAACTAGATTTTACAAATTAATCCACCTAAGATTTGAACATAAACTAATATATCGTACGAGATTATGAAAATTATAGACTAAACAATTGAAGTAATAATTATGTTGTTGCTAAAATCGAGTGTGATATTGTTCTTTTAGGGCAGTTAGTATATTATTTTTTTCTGAATTTCTTATACTGCTTATGCTAAGACCATAAATGAATTACAAAGGCAGGACATCAAATAGGATATTAAAAAGTATAGGATAAAATATTAAAAAAATGAAACTTTTGAATTGTAGACGTGGATACAGGACAACGTCATCTAGTATATATAACGTCGGGTCATCTAGTATATGTATATATATATATATATATATATATATATATGTGTGTGTACACCTAAGTCTGTTTTTACACGGTAGATTGGTTCCAGAAGAAGCCGTGTAAAAAAAAGTGTAAAAAAAGACATTGATCTTATACAAAAATGGGTGATTTGTTCCTAATCTCTAAAACATATTAAAATTAGCGAAAAACAAAAATTTTTAAGAACAAGAATTTATGTTTATTTTAGTTAGTGCTATTCACATTTGCTTTGACCAGTAAAAATTGTTTGTAGGCGCTAAAGGGGAATTCACTTAAATCTTTAAGTGAGTGTTCGCAAACTATCGATACTATCGATGGTTTCAGACTTTTTTCTTTCATAAATACTTTTTTGTGATATGAACATACTTCACAAAAATTAAATTTGACAAAAAAATTTAAGTACATAAAATTTCAAATCGTGCTAAATGGAATAAAATCGTGTAAAAAAACTAAAAATATTCTATTTTTAAACCGTGTTATATCAAAACCGTGTACAAAAAGACCGTGTAAAAACAGACTTAGGTGTATATACATACTATTTTCTGTTTGCACTAGTGATTTTAATCATATTACTCATTACTTGAGGATTAATATACAATTAAAAATAATTGTGTGGTCAAATGATGCGATGCCGTAGCAAGTCACACGCACAGAATAACGAAGCATATGCTCTCCAAACTCTGTGGGGGGAATGTATTTTAAAATGAAATGAAGAATCAGTTTAGTATGACATAGAAAGCATCCAAAAACTCGCCATAATAAGCGAACGTCAAACAAAGCATTCTAGAAAAGAAAATGAAATTTGAAGACTCGTATTTATGTTGAATATCTGAAAAATGAAGGATATTTCTTTGTTTTTTTGTTTAAATATTTATATAATTTTGTAAATGTTTATTTATCAAGAAGTTGATAAAGTTCTTTACACAATAGTTAAATAATTATGTATATTATAATGCTTTTTTATTATTATTTTCTATATTTCAGATATATAACCTCAAGTGGAAATTTGACATCAAAGTTGCCTGAAGCAGGCTATGGCGGTAGCGGGAATAGAACCAGCATATTATAATGCTTTGGTAAAAATTCTTAAAATTTCTGCTTAAAGCTATAAGATCTATATTAATGTTTGAAAAATATAAGATATTTTTGCAGGTTTTTTTAAAGATTTTTTAGAATGGTTCTTTTTTAAAGTTTATTTAGAATGGCATAAAAGTTTTATACGTAACACAAAAATTATGTAAAGGATATGGGCAGAATTATACAGAATCGGCCCCACCCGATTGAATTTTTTATTATGGCTAATGAATATACTTATATACAAGATATAAACAAAGTTTTTAATAAATATTGCCATGAGTATATGCAGAATTTGTCGAGACGCGCGATAACGACGAGCCTTATGCTTGCTCGTCGATCTGGCAAAGCGAGTTTATATGGGTGTTCTTGTACCGGCAGCGCGTGTACTAGCTTAAGTTTTTTCAACTTTTGACTACGAAGTTCCACCTACATTTAAATGAATTTTTGAACGACAGAAGAAAAATGTACAGGCTTTCGAATGATGCTAATTTAAAAGTAGTGGCCAAAGAGCCGCACTGGCAAAAAATGAAAAATTATTTTCACCTTATCATGCACTAATAAATAATTTTTTCACATTATTTGTTATGAACAACATAGACAAGATCAGTGTAAATAGGATGACGTTAACATTTTTTCGAAATCTCATATTTTCGACAAAAAGTAAGTTTGGAAAAAGGGGCCACATTCACATGTTTTCACTGATATCTCGGCCAAATGATGAAATAGGGAGTTGAAATTTGGCATCAAAATCATTTAAATACCAGGGTGGGGCCGATTATATTATGGCCTTTATTATATTTACTATGTTATGTAAATATGTATGCACAGTAGATGTCCATTAAATCCGGCTCGGCCTAAGTGCCGGATTATCGAAATTCTCAGACTATCGGGCAGTAATCAAAAAAACAATGATGGAATTAATTAAACGTTTTTAATGTTAATAACAAAGCGTCGTAATTAGCACAAGGCAAAACGATCTGTCTTTGTTCTCCTTGTCGGCCATTAAAACTAAACCTATTTTTTTTAGAAATGGATCATTATGAGCGACATTGTCACTGTAAAGGAGACCATTATATACGAATGTTCTATAAGAAATTTCATATGAAAACTGAACTTCGTAGTATAATTACGTCATAATAAGCATTGGGTCACTATATCCGGCGTCATTTTAAACGGATTCGAGTGTATTGTAAACGAATAACGTATAGAAAAATAAGAACGCTGATAATTTATTCGTAACGTGGACTCCCGAGACTATCGAAAATAGGTCATCGACGATATTTCACAATGTGATATTCTCACGCGTTTGGTCTATCAATTCGTAAAAATAACCAAATAGCGTGCTCATTTAGGTCATAAAAGTTAACTTTAGATAAATTTATTCAAGCCAGAAGGTAAGTAACTTTGACGATATATGTGTATGTATCTAGTAAAAAACAACTTCAGTTTTAAATTCAATTCAAATAAACACAACAATAAAACAAGGTTATAATATATATATATATATATATATATATATATATATATACGTATATATATATGTGTGTGTGTATATGTATATACATACAGAGATATTCAACGATTCGCCTTTGAATATTTGCGACACCACTGCCTTTTGTTTATTAACTTTCCTTAGTGTGAGTTACAGTAATCGTAAAAAATCTAAATTGTTTTTTTTTTCATATATTTATGTATCAAGACCTTAACGTTATGACATATCTTAGATATATGATTGTTTGTGTCGGCGCGGACCAACCAATTTGAATGAATTAAAAAAGCATTCGTTTTCTATTGACGGGGAAAGGTGCTGATTAGTTTTTGGCGAAGGCAGGTCCAACTGTTTCGAAGATAAGGAGCGAAAAGTGCCAAAAACTGACAAGTCAGTTTCTAAGAAAAATGAGCGTCCGATTTGAATGATTCAAAAAGCATTTCACTTGTATTGACAGAATAAAAAATCTATTAAATTTTAAAGAAGTCATGACCAGCGGTTTCGGAAATCTAATAAATAATGACATTTGGCGGCCAAAAATGAATATTAGACATATGCACATCAAATTATCAGATGTTTTATTGAGATTTATAATACCGTAACAAGATTTATAATGTCCAAAAATTAGATTGGAACACGGCGCTTACGCGCTTCTATATTCCATCTCTATAAAACAGCTACGTAGCGCGATCGCTTTGAAGATTTTCAAGATTTTTAACAAATTAAAAAAAACTGGTGGCGTGTGGCATCGTACCTTAAGGCAAATTGCTGAAACTTTTCGTACCGTAACTAAATGTTCCAGGAATATTAAATGTTTTCAAATAGATTATTGATTATTTATAATCTATAATTTATATTATAGAATAGTTTAAAATTATTTATTTAAAATATGTAAATGAGCTTTAGAACTTTAGCCAGAATTAAAATTAAAATCTGAATTATTTTCGATATACAAAAAAAAAATTACCAAAAGCAATCGTTTTGTCAACACAAGCAGAAAGTTTATTTGAATCATTCAAATATGATAAAAATAAAAAGAAAAAAAAAGAAAAAAAGAAAAAAAATAAAAAAATAAAAAAAAATTTAAAAAAAAGAAAAAATAAAAAAAATAAAAAACAGAAATAAAAAAAATAAATAAAAAAAAAAATTAAAAAAAATAAAAAAAACATGCTTAGTTGTCTCAAAAACTACAATTTTTTGTACATTTAGTTCCGTTTCTTCAAAATGGCTGGACCTGCATTTGTCAAAAACTAATCAGCACATCTCTCCATCAATAGGAACCGAATGTTTTTGAACCCTTCAAATCGGTTGATCCGTGCGCCCGAAAACGTGGACGAAAAATTGCGGGCACACAAAACACACACATCTATTTTTTTGGGGTATGCCAAAATGTTCAGAAACCTCTAAAACATGAAGATATGTAAAAAGTTTCATTTTCGATTTTCGGCCCATTACTATAACTTACCCTTCGGGAAGTTAATGAAAATTTGAAAACGTAGATTTTTTCAGTTTCTCAAAAAATAAATAAATAAAACTCAAGAAGATTTTGAAGCTTTTAATGTAAAATTACGTTACGGGAAGCATCCTAGTGGACTTATTCACATTTTTAAAAAGCATATATGTATAATATATGCATATCTATAAAAATATAGCAGAACTAATAAAACTCGAAATATGAAGGCCAAGCGGTTGTGGACACATACACAAAAAGAAATTAGCCTCGCCCGTATCCACGCCTACGTATCAAATTGATGGAATACATTTTCACAAACAGAATAAAAGTTTAAGCATCATTAATTTAAGGATTATTAAATAAAATGGCAAATAATTTTACAAGTGCTTTAAAGAAAATAGGTACTAGCAAACATAATTAACATTACGAATAAAGGTTCCTAAGCATAATCTGTATACACATAAAATATACAGATTACACACACACATATATATGTACAGATAATTTATAGGCGCTCTAAGTGTTGTCATAAGCAATAAATAATATGCAGAACTAACCTTGTTTTCAAATCATGATTTTCCTCCCATAATCTCTTAGTGTCAATTTCAAGTTTGGCCTTTTCTCTGGCAGTGTCATCTAGCAATTTTCGAGCATCTGACAGTTCATGATCATACATAGCCCTCAAAGTTGAGGCTTCTCTAGTTACAGTCTCTTCTGACGTCTGAATTTCTCTACTTAAGCGTGAATTTTCAGCTTCCAAATGCCTCACTCGATCTATATAACATGCTAAGCGATCATTTAAATTCTGCAAATCAGCTTTTTCTTGCAAACGGCTGTGTCGCGTAGGGCTCAGAGGGCTTGTAGGACGCAAATTCGACGGGGTACTAGAAGCTGCCGGGGACGTTATATTTAGCACTGAACTTGTAGAAGTAACCGAAGTTTTCTTCGTTCTTGAACTCATGATGCACTTTTTCTTCAAATTTTACAACTATAATACTATTAACCTTTAACTAAAACTAACTATAAACGTACAACAATAAAATAAACTTAAGACGCTACCAAACGTACAGACGAACTGTAAAGCATAGTACAGAAAACAACGAAACGTGAGCTTGGGCACTCCCCTCCAGAGATTAATCATACAAAAGATTAGTAACTCCCACATCGAAATTATACAGATCCGACACAAACCACTAGCGCCATTGACACTTTTTACCATAGATCAAAGGAGAGTGAATAGGAAACGGGCAAGCTTTCTCTAGCGGATTTTAAGTGAAACTTATCTTAACTTGACCAACAAATATGGCGTATGACCGTATGACACATTTATGAGTTGATTTTTCTTTCAACTAATATTCGGTTTGGTGCAAAACGTACACTTTTAGATTAGACATTTGTTGATATTCATACTTCTTACATTTTCTCTTTATTATTTTTTTTATTATTTTACAATAACAGAGGTAAGAGCATAGATAAAAGAAGAGAATAGGGTAAGAATAATGTAATTCAAAATATAAATTTTGTTTGCTATTACTAATATGCATCATATTACAGTCAGGACGGAAAATTCAATCAGAAAAATATGAAATGGTTTTAGAAAATAAATTATTTCTTATATCTTGGTGCAAATCGTACTGCAGTTAATGCTTTCTGCACATTTTGTGGCCAAATGGGCAAGCAATTTAAGCCCATAAGTGTACTTATTGTATTTCTAAATTCGACAAGAAGCGCTTGTTTGAAGCATTTCTTTTTAAATCATTCGCATGTGATCACATTATAAACTGCACTGCTAGTGGGTAGGTTGACAAAAATATAATCCTGTATTAGCCGATAAAGCTAAATTTATGAGTAAAGAAACAAAGTTTCTAATTGTTCTTCATATCCAGGATTTTTATCAATATGGACTGAGTTAAACAAATTAATATGACAGTGCTTGTGTATCCGCCATTTGTTTAAAATTGAAATGGATTACTTTCACTAGGAGATATAATTGAAGCATACTCTGTAGCTAGTGTTGGTATACACGTAAAACGAGTCATACAGAGAATGAAAATTTTTAAAGATCTACATAATATAACAAAGGACCTTCAATTTTTGGGTGAAAATATTGTTTTCGTATGTCCTATTTTGGTGAGCCTACAAACTCTCATTATTGGATAAGATGTGGACAGTAAATAAATGAAATGTTAGTTTATGTTAGATTAAATATATATGCATCATGACTCTAGACTTGTATAATAACAATAATTGTATGTTAATTTTATACATAATACATAAATTGAAAGTTTTTGGATATCAATGATGAATACTTCTTGAATTTACCTAAATTAATCTGAAAAAAAAAAACATTGAGAGCATATAATTTTTAACAGGAGGATAATATTAAATTCAAACAAGCTACCAATCTATGGAGGAAGTCTTCTCTATCAATATGATTAAATACTGCTCAAAATAAAACAGTTTCAGTATTGGTATAATTTTTGAGAAACTTTTCATCCTTGCCTATACTAAAACAATAGCTTCCTAAATTTATAGTTTATTTGCAATCAATAAAACAAATCATACCAGCAGGTGACGAAACAATACCTACTTTAAGCAACTCATGTATGTTTTAATATGGTGGCCAGTAACATAAATATTTTAATTATGACTACATATTTCAATGAATCTATCCAACGAAGCAATTTATTTCTTTGTTAATTTTCTTTCGAAATTATAACAAAATTTACTTTCTTATTTATGCGCTTTCTTTACTTAATATACGCACATGATTGGTGACACAGATATGCCGCAGTATTATAAAAAATAAATAAAAAGTGTAGTTATAAGAAGCAATAATAAGCACATAAGTTTGAATAAAACCTGTCAAAATATGAAATAAAACTTGTCAAGCGCCATATTGTTTGCGCCGCCTAATGCACTTTTTGGCCACCATGAGAAGTCACGGCGTTTTCACTGACATTTTTATGGACTTGCCCCATAGATAAGTAAACATTGCCCGTTGATGCCATATACCACTAGTCTTTTTATCTATGGTTAATGCTATCTACGTTTTTCATAGAAATATGATTTGCATGTTGGCAGCGTTAGTTTTGTATGATAATGAAGTGAACCGAAAAGGGCCGCATGCGATCGTGTATAACCTCTTCTTTCAAACGTCAAAAGTGACAGCCGATGTTAAAATGTGTTAACTAAATAGTAGTATATTTCTATATAATAGTTTAGGTTTGTCACTTTAAATAAATATTAATAAATAGTAATAGTTGGAATAGTCTAAAATATTACCTATCAGTACAAATAATTACTAATTACCTCATCTTTTCCTCGAATATAGATCAATTTGTTTTCAATTTATAATAATGTATTATCCTGTATTATCTATTCGTACAAAATGCGTATTAGACGCAAAATGCATTAAAAAGTATGATTAAATAAAAATATTTTAATTGGTAAAAGTAAAATTAAATAATAACTTTTCATTTACCATGGCATAGGTACATCGCTTGCCCTGAATTAAGTTCAGAATACATGCAGAATATATAGCATATATATATATATATTATAGAATTTTGTGATATGAGTGATACGAATATTAAATTTTAAATATGAACAATACAACACTCAGATTAGAATCCATATATTTATATTCATTTCTTTCATTTTTCATTAATTTTTTTCCTTTTTGTAATTTTTGATATAGTGTTATCGTCTGTCACTTATTGTTTTTATTCCATTTTATTGTTTTTCTAGTGTTATTTTTATTATTCAGAAATTTTATTTATTTATTTTATTATTATTATTTGCTTTGGTTTTATATTAAATCATCATACTACGGATATCATTTTAATGTAAATGCTATCCTTTATTTTATACTCTTTATTATTTAAATTTATGTTATTGTTCATTATTATTACTAGATGTTATATTATTCAACAGTTGTAATAATTATTGTTATTAAAAAAAGAAATTGATATATAAAATATGTTCTGAAATCATAAGAATTTACATACACACACATATATATATATATATATATATATATATATATTTATATATATATATTTATATATATATATATATATATATATATATACATGCTAATATATATGAATGAACTTATGATTTATGCACAATAGATATGGCTTCAGAAAATTCTCACTCAGAATCTGCTACCAAACCATGTCGAACTTGCACCGATTTTAAATCATGGGCTAAACAGCAAAAAAAAGCTTTGAATGAGAGTTCTAAAGTAAATAATAATAGTTATAAAGAGGTATATTTTTATAATTCCATTGAAATTTCAATATTAAACCAAATAATTTATAAACTATTTATTCACTCATAGGCTAATAATAAAAGAGAAAGTATGCTGGAGGATACCTCACAAGAGATAAATCCTGATGATAGAGATTGTCCTTTAGATAGAGTACATTTAGGTTTGTACTATATATATATATATATATATATGCTTACATATATGTGAGTGTGCTCGTGAAACATAATATATTTTAAATAAAACATATCAAATTCAAATACAGTATTATTGAAGGTCGTAAAACATGGGGACTTCTGCACACAATGGCAGCTTATTATCCAGAAAATCCAACGGATAATCAGAAAGCCTACATGAAAACATTTTTAAAAACACTAAGTCTATTATATCCGTGTGACGATTGTGCTAGGGACTTTCAAGAAGAGTATGTTTTTTTGGACAATAGGGAACAATTAGAAATGATTTTTGATTTTTGCATGCTAAAATGAATAATATTGTAGATTGAAGAAAAATCCTCCATTGGTTTCAAGTCAACATGACTTAGCACAGTGGATGTGCCGTCTTCACAATTCTGTGAACGACAAGCTGAATAAACCTAAATTTGACTGTTCCAAAGTAAATGAGAGATGGCGAGATGGTTGGTTGGATGGTTCATGTGATTAAGATAGGGATATAGCATATATAAATGTTGAATATAAGAAATAAATGTATTAATATAGAAATATTTTTCTGTATAATTGTAGTTCAAATTTTGTACAAAACATTAATTTTATAGATCAAGTACAATATACATATTTAAATAAAAATATTAAAGTTGTCTTGAAAATAGTATTTTAGATCATAAAAGATAGTAAGATTTTTTTCATGTTATAATATCTTTTTTTTACATAAACAATTAATTTATATGTTTTCATTCTTTGGTATTGGTATAATATATATTAACATATATATATATATATATATATATATATATATATGTATATATATATATATATATATATATTTGAGTTTAAAAGTCTGACGTTACATCAATAAAAATAATATGAGAGTTTTTAGAAATTTTAGCCTTCATACAGTGGCAATCAATATAACTTTAAAGATTAAAACTAAATAAATAATATAAGTGAGAAATTTTATAGAAAAACAATAATAAAAATAAAAAAACTTACAATTTTGTATCCTAATATAACAGATGAAAACATTATTACTCCATGGTATGGATATGTGCACAGTAGTAAAATATATATTTTTAACATTACAAATGATAAAACACAAATAAACATCAATACCGAGAACACTAAACTAAATATTAAAGTAAATAATAGAGAAATAGAAGAAGTGGAAAGCATAAAATACTTAGGACTGATAATAAATGAAAAATTGACATGGACAGAACATATAAACAAAATAAAAAGAAAAATAGGAACATTAACAGGGGCATTGAAAAGGATCCACTCTTTCGGCAAAAAAAAATAAAATACTAATTCTTAAAACGCAAAAATACCTATAATTTTATATGGAATAACAACATGGAGCCAAACAACTAAAGCTAACTTAAATGACATACAGAGAATAATGAATAAAGCCACCAAAATAGCATACAATTTTCCACATCTAACACCCACCAAATACTTACAGAGAGAAACAAATAATCTTTCACTAAATAACATAATTAAAATAGAGAAATGCAAACTAATACACAAAATAAAATTTAACCGAATTAAAACAAGCGCAACAATAGACACAAATCAAGATATACATGAACACTACACTAGACAACACAACAATTTTCACATTGAACACAATAGAAAGAAGAATTTCAGAGAAAATGTCATATGGAGTGCCAGCAAAATATATAATGAATTGCCAAACAATATCAAGATGACCAAAGATGACGATAAATTTAAAAGAAAAATAAAAAAACACTATAAGGAAATTGAAGACAAAGAAGACTGAAGAGTGATATATAAAGATATTTTTAGTTATATATAGATATTATATTAATGAAATAGATTATTATAGTCAAATGAAATGTATTGTGGGAGTTGTAATGATTATGATAATATTTTAGATTAGAAACTCCCAACATAAAAAATATATCAAATTTATTGACTATAAAAATATTTACGATATCAAAAATATACATGACATGTCCCATTGTTTTTTTACAAATCAAAACCAGCCTGCTTGATATCGCCACACACTCCCTGCCCAGTGTTGATCTCACAGTTTAAAAGAAAAATACAGGGAAACACGTTATAAAAATGTGGTGGGAAAGCAGATTATAGCAGACCAGTGTTGTAATACTGGTCAATTACAAATTTCCATGTTTCGTCAGCAGATCCACCGTATGTGGTGATTTGACCTGCCATCAACTCCATATTCTGCATAATGTTCTCGATCTAATGGGTATTAGTTATATCAGAATAACTTAATGTTTAGAATGCATAATTTATGGGTACAGTTTCCATTTCTGCAAGCGTTGCATTCGTATCTGATGAGTTCCGATCAGAGAAAGAAGTTGGCTCTTTATCCAAATCAGGATCATTGGTTTCTTTGACATAAGAGTCCAGAATTGTGGAATCCAATAAAATATATCAAATTTTGTTTTGATTCGTCGTTGTCACCGATAATGGGAGGTAGCATTATAAGACGATTTGTTGAGTTAACAGAGAAAGAGAGGTTGAATTGCATCCCAATGAAAAATTCAGGCTCCAAATTATTTTTTTTGTCAGCAATAAACACTGAGGTCTGGGTATACCAAATGAGTAACCTCGGAAGTCTGATCCAGATAGTAAGTGCGTTAACTATGATGGATTGGACTGGACGTACCTTATAGGTCGTCTCTGAAGACCAGTGATTATGGTGCTGCGTCAAATTCAATTTTTTCAAATCCTCGAAAAATAAAACTCCTTTTTTTTTGTCTTCATCTCCATCGTCGTGAGTCACCAATGTGGGAGTTGTAATGATTATGATAATATTTTAGATGAGAAACTCCCTACATAAAAAATATATCAAATTTATTGACTATAAAAATATTTACGATATCAAAAATATACATGACATGTCCCATTGTTTTTTTACAAATCAAAACCAGCCTGCTTGATATCGCCACAGTATATATTATATGAAAACTGTTTTCATAATCTCTCATACCAGGCAACTCTGCCTGACTGAGATATGAAAATAATGTATATATATATAAATAAATAAAAATTTAAAATTAAAAAAAAAAAATAATAATAACTTTTAATAAGTTTTAGAAATTATGTATTGGCTATTCGAAGTCTAAGATAGAAATGTCGCGGATCTCTTAGCAAAATTAGAACTACAATATGAAACGCAACAGTAAGATTGAAATTTAGTTATCGAGGGAACCAGGAAAATGTAATATTTATTGTAATTTAGATGAACCAGCTGAAAAAGACATAATACCTGCCTTTGCCAAAAACTAATGAGCATATCTTCCTGTCAATAGAAATCGAATGCATTTTGAACCATTCAAATCGGTTTCATCCGTGTGCCTGAAAACGTGAACGAAAAATTACGGACACACAAAACACACACACACACATCCATTTTTTCTGAGGCATGCCAAATGTTCAAAAACCTTCAAAACAGTAACATTTCCGATTTTCAGCCCATTACTATAACTACCCTATGGGAAGTTAATAATGACGAAAACCTATTTTTCTACTTCGTGAAAAACTTTCACCTTATTTTCAATATTGTAGTCAAGGAAAAAGCAAAATCGCAAAATTACAGGCTATTAGCCTCCTCAATACAATGAGTAAAGTGACTGAAAAGTTACTGCTCAAACCACTCTACGAAAGACACAACAAAATCATGCCAGACACCCAATATGGATTTAAAGAACAGCACTCTACACTTGAAAACGCCATATTCAACTTCAACAGACAAAACCATACTTACTTATTACTTTTTATTGCCGACGTAAATATATGAAAAATATTGAAATCTTAAGTTTTTCATACATTGAAATATTAGTCAGAACTTATACGGCAATATATAATCAATAATAATAATTATTGTTTTATTCGGCGCGTTGGATTTTTTATTATGACTAATGAATATATATATACCTATATACAAGATATAAATAAATTTTGGTTTTTAATAAATATTTCCATACTTATATACATAATTTGTCGAGACGCGCGATAACAAAGCAACTTTATATGGGTGTTCTTCGCGTATTAGCTTAAGTTTTTCCAACTTTTCACCCAAAGTTCCACTTAGATTTAAATGAATTTTGAATAACAGAAGAAAAATGTACAGGCTTTCGAATGATTCTAATATAAAAGTAGTGTCCAAAGAGCCGCACTGGTAGGAAATGGAAAATGAAAAATTATTTGCACCTTTTCATGCACTAATAAATAATTTTTTCACATTATTTGTTATGAACAACATAGACAAGATCAGTGTAAACAGAATGACGTTAACATTTTTTCGAAATCTCTTATATTTCCGACAAAAAGTGAGTTTGAAAAAAGGGGTCACTTTCACATGTTTTCACTGATATCTCGGCCAAATGATGAGCTACGGATTTGAAATTTGGTCTTTCGAATTTTCTCGAAAATACCTATAAATCATTTAAATACCAGGGTGAGGCCAATTCTATATGGAAACACGCCCAGACCCTTTATATATATAATTATATGATTTAGTAGTTAATTTTGATGTTGAAATATATGAGTGAGTTCTTGAGGGCGATACATCAAACAAAGAAAAGCCAAAGATTTATAAAATAATCTTTATTTCCAAACGTTTCGACATTCAATTAATGTCATCATCAGTGGATCTAAAAACAGTATGAAAATTAGTATATCTAGGTAATTATAATATATGTGGATTGGTAAAGTAACTATACAATAAGAGAAAAATTAACAAACAGCAACACTTAACACAAACCAAATATAAAAGATAGGAAAGGTAGTAGAGACTGGAATTAAATAAATAATTAAAAAGTATAGGCAAAAATATTTAAGTACACTCATGTAAACCTTGCAATGATTGCCCTTCTACTTACATAGGTGAAACCGGACAAAATTTAATAAAAAGACTCAAACAACACGACAATAATTCGAAAAACCCAACCAAAACCAAACTATGATAACAGAACACATAAAAATTTTCAAACACTCCTTTAATTTTTATAATGCCAGTATTCTCTACCATGAACGGAACACCATTCAGAGACGTTTTGCAGAATCTTGTTTCATATCAATATGTGACCACGTGGTGAACAAAAGATCGGATTCCTCCTTACTCTGCGATAACTACCAAGTAATACTAAATAATGTTTCCAAATTTATTTCCCCTGAACAAAACTAATTGACCTTACTAACCTTGCCAACACTTCCTAGTTTAATTTCGGCCTTGATACCCGAGCTTTACCTACCTATACATAGCAAATTTTGAATAAACCTTAAAATTTGTTTATTTTAGATTTTTGAGTCATTAGTATACTACTTAGTAATACTAAATAACATTTCCATTTTTTTTCTCCTATTCTAACCATACAAACCTGCCTACATTACTAGTTTCAACTTCCGACTATTTTCTA